GAAGGGAGGTTATAGCCAGGTGGGGGTTGGTCTCTTCTCCCAGGCAACCAACAATAGGACAAGGGGACATGGGCTCAAGCTCTGCCAGGGGAGGTTTAGGTTAGATGTTAGGAAGAAATTCTTTACAGAGAGGGTAATCAGGCATTGGAACGGCCTACCCAGAGAGGTGGTAGATTCACCATCCCTGGACGTTTTTTAAAAGAGATTGGATGTGGCCCTTAGTGCCATGCTGTAGTAATTGGAGTTGGATCAGGGGTTGGATTTGATGATCTTGGAGGTCTTTTCCAACCCAATCTATTCTATGATTCTATGATTCTATGATTCTATGAAATGTATACCTTCTAATAAATCATACAGACTAGTTCTGTGCCATTTTTCCCATTTAAAATTAAATGGGGTTTGGTGTGGAATAGGTGCTCTCTCCTCTTGACATTTCTTTAAAATACATACAATATCACACCCATGTATACAAGGTTAAAGGACTAAAGCTGGTGTTTCTAACCAATACAGATCAGCAGTTGGAAGCATCACTCCTGGCTCTTTTGAACTGAATCTATAAATGCACATCTTAAAACTCAAGAGATGAAGATTAGAGGATTTGACTTATGGCACCTTCAGAACTTGAGCTTCTTTATCTCCTTTTAACAGGAAAAACTGAGATACTGACAACTGAGCATTTACTGGTTTTTAAACACTACAGTAAATTACCTGAAAACACGGCATTAAACTTGCTAATCCCAGTTCCAACACTTTCCACAGTGTTTTACTGCATGTAGCTGTCAGACAAGAACTGTCCAAAGAAAGAAACAAATTATTTATTCAAGTCTCTTAAAGCCATGAATTGCATTTTATTTGAGACTTGAGGCAAAACCAGGGAGAGCTTCACTAGAATTCAAGAGGAAGTTGGGGAAAAAAAATAATGGTATGCTAAATGCTCCCAGGAAAGGGGACAAAACCATCCTTAAACAAACCTGTCAGGTTGGACTGTTTAAAAAAAAGAGTATCTGTATCTACCCATCATTTTCATCAGCTTCATAGGACTCCTTTGCAGCAATGGGTGTTTTAAGAAACACAACCAAGAAGTTTGCCTTGCTCCAGGAAAGATAAGCTTTCAGCAAATAAAATTATACACTCTGCTGAACACAAAAACCTTGTTCATTATGCACATCTCAACTGCACTGACCTAACTTGACATCCATGACGTTCCAGTACAAAACAGGGCTGATTAAACAATGTGCTGTCAAAGAGGCCCAAAATCTTCATGCAAAGACTACCAGGAGTATAAGCTGGCGGGAAGTTAGAGAGAGAAAGATCAATCATTGCAAGTACAGATGAGACACAGGAGTGTTGATCTTATGAACTGCTCCCTTACACAGATGAAAGAAAATACTCTTTTGCCTAAACCAATTATAAGTGCAAGTCTCCCCCAACAGCTTAAAGTAGGTGTAATTCCCTATTGCTTTTCTTAGTCTGGCCATTTTTATAACATTTCCTTTTAAAGCAAAACTTAATGCTGAAATTATATTGCACTGTGGTAGACACCGAGTCATTTGTATATCAAAGACAGATGAACTTCAGCCCTCTGATAAAGAGCAAGTGGGAATTAAAGGTATTGGATCTGTAGCATATGAACAAAGACACAGAAAGGAAAATATTCTGTTTAGAAACAGGAAGAACAGATTACTATAACTTATACAAGGAATACCTAGACACTGTAAGTATAGTGAGTTATCCAGGGCTTCTGCATTTGTCCTATCCACAAAAGCCCTCCCAAGTACTCAGGTGCCTGAACATGAGCTGAGATGGTCTTCTGTGTGAGCACATACCAGAGATGTGAACGCAAAATAATGCAGGGCAATAACAGCCCTGTTCAGTCAGACACATTCAGGAAAGCAGCGATGGGTAGCACACACGCTGCTCTAATAAAAAAAGGTAGAGTACTTGAAACAGCCCTTCTACACCCTCTTACCTTTGCTGCCTAGTCCCATGAAACTCCATTTCTCGCCTCTCCTACACTTGCAGACAGATTTCACAGGAGAAAATCATGTCATGCTCTCAGAGCTTGGCAGTCTTCTGGCCTGAAAATTACACCAACTGAAGCATGAAATTGGTGTCCCTCTCTTAAGCATGCTCTGAACCCACCAGGGCACACTGGATGGACACAGTCATCTTCTCTCTCCTTTCTCAACAAAGAAGGATTGAGCAATTGAGTCCTCCCTTTCTGAAAAGGTGTGCTAAACTGACAGCAGATTTTCATGCATCCTCTTCTTTCTTTTCGTTTAGCAGAAACTGAGCCCACTAGCCATAGGACATAAATCTGCTTACATACCCCCCACTGAACAATGATTAAACCATGGCTGTGAGTCCTGCTCCTGTACAAACCCAGCTATAAGTCCAAACCCACCTGATGGGTCTGTTTGCCTGCACTTTCTTGGGAAGAAAGAACAATCCAGCAAGATAATTGTTATTCAGAATTCAAAGTGAAGTACTGCTTGTAGCAACAACTCTAGTCTGTAATTGCATGCATATGCTGAGCAAAATTCATATACATCAGGAAAAACAATGATTGAATATTTCTTTTCAGACAACAAATAAAACCTCTGGGAAACACTGACTGGTTCAAAAACCTTCTTTTCAAATAAGGGGCTTTTCTGAAAACTACAGCAACAAAATTTTGAAAAAAGAACAAGATCACATCTCCCCAGACCTGATCCACATGTACTCACTGGTGGGTCAAACCTCTGATCTGCCTGACAAGAATGATACTGAGTTACACGAAGAACTGAAGAGGGAAGATGTGGAGCAGCTACATCAATTACAGAATAGAAAAAATAGCTTTCACAGGGAAATAGATGGATATTCAGTTTCCACAGCCTCATGATTTCCTCACAGTTGTTCATGCCATACATAGCTCAAGTGGGTGGTAGGAATGTACTTCATGCCCCACTCACCCACACCTAACCTGCCTCAGTGAAGAGCTGCACACACTGTACAGGCACTGCTGTGCTTTATGAGACAGTCCAACACTAACGTGAACTATAGTTCATTGGACTAAGGAGGCTGCCCCTCATCCATGTCCCTGATGTGACCTTTTATGTCACATGAGAAAAAGGGGCTGAGGTGCAACGAATGCCAAGAGCCTTTGCTGCTGCTTGGGCAACAAGGCTTTGTAAGTGCATACCCATACACTCAGACTGATAATAGCATCCAATGCTGAAATCTGCTACTGTAAGGCAATAGTAATCTTTATGTTAAAAAAGGAGGGGGAGAATAAAAAGGAAAAGAGAAGAGCATCATGCTTCTAAAAGTCAAGTGATGCCTTAGAATGCAAGATTTTTAGCCTTCTGTGGATTTTAATCTAGCTATAGTCTTCTTTCACTTTCGACTATTACTTTCTCACAGTTTGTATGTCACAATCCAGAAGCTTTGGTTTAAACATCTTTTAACTGTCTTTTCAAAGCAATAGATTTTTAGCAAGAACATTCTGTTGGGATGTGCACCTGGATCGGAATAACAAGAGATATGGCAGACAAAACAAGAGAGAAGGCTCAAGACCCTTGGAGGGACTCCAGCGGGGTAGTTCTGATGGTGGTATTCTGGCAAAAGGGGTCTTAGGATTGGACGTCCCCTTTAGATAAGCTACTTAGTAAAGGACATAAAAGTGTAAAGATTCTGTATGTAAGTGTGCGCCTTTGTGCTCCATGAGCTAGAAGGCCTTCATTAAAAGAGCTGCTCTATATCTTATCTGTACTAAATTTGCCTGGTGATTTTTTTCTCCTGATTTTAGGCAACACAAGTAATCCACAAATGTTGCTGTAGTGCTACCTGGGACTTAAGGTGCAGTTCCTGCCCCAGAGGGATGCACCTGTTAATCTTGAGGCTTTTAAATAGTTCTGTCCACACTCAGATGGTGTTAAAGTAGTGAAAGGGAAAAAGAAAAGTGAAAAAAAACACCTCTAAATCTTCATCTTCTCCAGGTCATGTAACTCATTAATGTAAGCAACAAGGACTTCAGAGCCCTGAGATGTACATACCATTTCCTTGAATGCACTTTCTATGGCCCCAATAACCAGGCACTCGTGTGGGATCTTCTTCTCAGTGAAGAAGCGTGTTGGAGGGGTGCTGGGTGAGCCTGGGGCCCCCACACCACCACGCAGGGAGGCTGCCCGTGTCAGTGTCCTGCTGTTGGTGGACGAGTTGTCAGGCTCCTCTCCCAGGCAGGTCGGTGGGAGGACAGCTGTGTTCCTCAGGATGTCTACAATCTCTTGCAGCTGCTCCAGGATATGGTGCTGTAGGAGTTTGGAAGCAACCACAGCTGCCCCTGACCCAGCGTGTCCATCAAACAGAGACCAGTAGTACAGATTGATCCCATCTGAGTCCTGGAGAAGCAAGAGGGGAAGAAAGGGAAGAGATAGTCACTGTTAAACGGCTGTGAGTGAGTAAAGTTCAAGCATGTTCTTAACTAGTGCATCAACAGCATACTCATCTACACAGCAGAGAGCTCCTCCAGGAGGAGGAATTCAGCAATCTATTGAGCACTCTTAATTTCATCACTGAAATGCTGAGATAAGGGAGAGTATTGTCCTAAAGTACTAGACTACTTACCATAGTAAGGATCATACAGGAACGTTAGAAAAACCAACACATGTACCCATTTCCGAATGCAGCTTCTCAGCCCGACCCTACCACTTACCAGCCTGGTAAACTCACCAAAAAAAACTGTTGAGAAACTTCCCCCCTGAAGGTAGGACTAGCTTGGTTTGGGCTCAGAAACCCTGCAAGTTCACACAACAGTTGGCTGTAAAATTCTGCTAAAGTAATTTTTAACAGTTAACAGGATTAGCAACTAAAAAAACTGCTTGTATAAATAGACTGCTATTCATGCAAAATGTAAAGTATTTTGCCAACAGAAACAAGTAGCTGAAAATGAAAATATTTCAGCTGAAAACTGAGACTATTTATTCAAAATGGCAACACTGTGCCTCCTGTGATCTGTAGATCAAACTACTTTTGCTCCCAATCTTTTCTCAGGGTTTGGCTCCCTGGCCAAAATCCATGTCATGATGCACCATGGATAATGTTTCCACAATTTAAATCCTCATGTCAATTAAATGTACTATACCTCTTTGGAAATGTGTTACCTTTGAGGTAAAAAAAACAAAGGCATTACACCTCTGATTGAGATGAAAATATTTTACTTTCCACCTAAAGGAAGATGATGTTTTGTCATTGTTCTCCCCCTGCCTCAAAACTGTAACAGAAACTTACAATTTAGAACAAGTTCACACACACACACACACACACACACACACACACACCCCCTGCCCCCATTTTCTTAAGTTCTCCAAAGCAACCTAGATAACTGGAAAGTCTGTATTATAAGCAGTCAGGGGAGATGACTACCATAACACTGTTCTCATACAGACATTCTGTGTGAGATGCTCTAGGGCCTTAACTTCAGCTGGGATCTGCAGGCGTTATTGTAATCTAAATATTAGTCTTCAGAAACTTCTATGTATTCTTACAAAGCTTCATTTACTTTTGAACTAGCAAAGAGGAAAATCACCAATGACTTATTAGCAGTCTAAAGAAGGAAAAAAAACCCCAACTCTTTTCCCCTACCCTGAGAATAAAAACAGCTCCTCTATTTGAAAGAAATGAATTCCGCAAAACCATACCAATTCAATGGGAATTAAATATATGGTGCAATTAAAGCAGTGATTCAGAGAATGAACAAGGGCCGGCAGTCCAGGCACACAGATGAGACAAAATGCACAGAAACGTCCTTGCTTTTCCTTGCACAGCTGTAGCTACCCAGCGTTACCTATTCTAGTGTTCATGTGCATGGCTGTCCTATCTTACATTTAAAAGCTTGAAATGCTTCCCCAAAAGAACTGACATTCTGCAAACTCATAGAACAAGACACCTATTTTTACTAGTACTGGCAGTATTCTGTCAAAAGTAGTCTTTCAAAGACCAATCTCTATTTGTTCTTTTAACTGGACAGAACCCTCAAACAGGAGTGTGATCAGTCACCACAGTGATATATTTTAGCTTTTCATTCAAAAGATTCTAGTTTAACATCAAGCTGAATAGCCTCCAGAAACATGAAGAGAACACAGATCCTTCACTGCACTGATCTTACAATTAATTTCTAGAATGTAGCAGGTAATTTAATAAGCATCAGGCTCCTCAACTGCTGACCTAGCTTTCAGGAAGGCTCAGCAGTCTCCTGGGCTTTGAAATTGTAAAATCTAATTAAGACATTCAAAGTTTTGGGTCAAGCAACAGATGAGAAATCATAAAGGAAATGCATATATTTGCACACATAATTGGAGCTCAATTATAGGAAATAAACCTTAGCAATACATAGTGGTCAATTTGGGACAAGCTTTTCAGGTAAGCTAGGCAGTAGTCCTACATTGTAAAATCATCAGATTTTTGTTATGAAGCTAATTCCAAACAGGCAAATAAAATCATGTTGCCACTAAAGGTTTATTCTGAAAACTATAACCTACTCTGCGTATTACTGTTCCAGACATGAACTATATGCACAAAATGTATTGGAGGACACCTTGAGCTGTCATAAAATCTGAAGCAGGCCAGAAACTGCCACCCCAATCCTCAAATTTCCACTCCGAGCCTCTTCGTGTTACTGATTGTAAGTTCAGCTGCCTACGGTAGGCTACCTGCCTTGTGTCACACAAAACAAATAGACTGTACCATCTTTGTGCAAAGAAAACTGCAGAATTAATAATTAGGTATCCTCACATTACAATGACAATTAATAATGTATCACTAAGTCCTGCAGCCTGTTACTATGACAATATCCTGGCACAGGATTTCCATTTCACTTGCTGATGGTTTTTCAGTATTCATCATTGAGGTATTCCATAGTTAAAGGCATTTAAAAATAGTACCAGTGAAAAAGCTGTGCAATTTAACATGAATGCTCTTGAATGGGGACAGACAGCAAACATGATTAATCAAGCAATAGTGGAGTGGGGTGGGTAGAAGGGGAGAGAATTAACTTAGGGTTGAATTTGCAGAGTCTTTCCTTTCACTGCTCTGCTCAATTTATTTCCCACCCTTTCAAAAACAAAAACATGTTTATGCTATTTAACAGGCTTCCTTGGATTTGTGAGTGTGTCAGGGCTAAAGAAGTGTCCACTTCTCCATCTTCAAATTTTGCCACCTCCTCCTTCCCAGTCCTGGAAGCTCCACAGAGTCCACCTGCAGAGTGAAGGCCATGATAGCAACACCCAGCTTGTGTGGACAACACGCGGATCCTTGTGCTGCCTTGCCAAAGTCCAGGGCTGGACTGATGGGGTTAACATTAAACAACAATAATGACACAATCCCAAATGCAGCTGTCATTTAAGTTTAACAAACTTCCCAAAAAGTAGGATAAAACAAAGATTACATGGCCTTCTCCAAGCTTCTGTGGAAAAAGAAAGAAAAATCTGAGGATGATGAAAAGGGCTCTGTTAAATGAAGAGACCGACAAGTTCCAGTGCCCATTTCCCTTGTGCTCCACACTTTAAAAAACTAAACAAGAACAGATGAAGTCTTTTCTTGCAATAAAGTGCTTCCCTTATTCCTTTTTCTTCAGTAATTCCGTAAGGTGCTCCACCTCAGAGACAATTTCAGATTGTGTTTTACGGTGAGATTTTCCTCTAAGGCACTTACAGTATTCAGCCTCTGGCTTTCTTACTAAATACTTAATGGGACAATATTCTGTCATTCACTATAGTATCTCAAGCTGGTATTTCTACATCCTATTCATACAGATTATGAATCATATAACGCCAAACTCATACACTCCTTAAAAGATGTTTGTTAACAATCCTATGAGAGGGCAAAACAGTATTATACCTCACAGCATAAAGACATGAAAACAAAAATATGACACATTATAAAAATGTGGGGCTTTTTTTCCTTTTTAGATATATTCAACCAACAAAAGATGTAGCAAGGGAAAAAATTCTACTCATTACTAATGTTAGACTGCCCTCTAGGAGAAAACTTTCTCAAGAAATATGCTACCTGTTTTGGGAAAATATATTACAAATTTAAATTCACAAGCTGTGGCCTAATAACACGGTACAATAGGTTTTATACAGCTAAATAATGAGTGCTATAGCACTCATTCCAATGCCATGTAGACTACAGAAGTAAACTTATAGATAAGAACACATAAAGAACAATATAATAAGTAACTAGAAAACTGTATACTATATCATATTAATCAGCTGCCTCCTGACTTCAGACTTTATGCTAATTTCTGGACAAAATATGGCAGAAATAGAATCAAGAACAGAAGATCTGAAATAAATATATATCTCTCAAGAAATTTGAAAGGGAATGACTGTTTATTCCAAAATCAAGATGAAAGACAAAATCAAAAGTAGGAAATACACTAGTGAAGAGAGGAAGAAAAAAAAAATCAGAAAAATCCATTAGATGCTTCTCATAAATACTGGGTAACTGGATATTTAATGAGGCTGACATTAAATTTCAAATGGATAAAAAGAACAGCTTTCAAAAACATTCAGTTTATTGACTCCACGATTACAATACCATAAAAGCATGACAACAGTAACAATGAATAACGTCAAGGCTTGTTAAGATGCCTTTCCAATAATGAAACAGTTTCAGATCCCTGTATTTTTAATGCAATCTAGTCTTATTAACTATGCAATGTTTGGAAAAAAGTTCCTTCTGAGGAAGATGATTGACCATGCAGTGGTTTTTGCTTCTGAGAATCTTTTGATACTGGAAGTTAATTGGGCTTTGTGAAATAATGCTATAAAGCTTTTAACGTCCAATGCATGCCACCCAAACATGAAAACCCAGTCAAATTCAGCACAACATACACACACAGGTACATTCACCCACACCCTAAATGCAGAGGCCCCTGACCAGGTATCTCATGTGGTAGGTCTGGAACTTAAATGTGGTGTGAGACCAAAACTAGTATCTCTGCAAAACATCAAGATGTGTCTACCCAGGCCGATGTGTGCACAGGGGTCTTTGCAGTGTGCCTGTGTGCATGGCACAGCAATTCCCTTTGTGTCAAACAAACTCACCACATGGACCAAGGACACTGTTGCTTATCTTGCTGTGTTTTATGCACATGAACAAGTACTGTGGACAAATGCTTGCTTCATTAAACACCATTAATGCATACAAAAGTTAAATACACTCCTAGAACCAAGCATATGCATGAGCCCACAGCAGACAGTTGCATGAACTTACTAGGAAAGACTTTTTAAAACAGATTATTAAAACAAATTCTGTTTTGCTTTGCATGACTGTACATAGAACTGTACATAGTCCCAGCAAGTTCCAGGCACAATTCTTCATCCAGGAGTGTGCAAATATATACTTGAAAATAGAAATCATGACTGTCTGAATACAATGAGGAAGATCAGCACGCAGCAATTGGAACTTGTGATTTCAAGAAAGATTTGCAAGAGGAAAGAACAAGGCAATTTGCAAACCTGAGAATCTCTCAGTTTAAAAATGTTGCAGTAATAATGAAATATGAAACAAGGGGAGCAAGAGGTGGGGAGAGATACAATACCAGAGGAATGCTCAGGACACTGATGAACTCTGCAGCCATCAGGTGTACCAAGCCATGGAGAGAGACTGTTAATCACCATCTGATTTAAAACATACACACACACGAAAAACCCAAACCCCAAAACTACCAGAAAAGGCTATTTACAGTCCACTGAAAAACTAATTATCGCTTAGAGACAACTTGCATTCTCCAGCAGCAGGAATACTGCATGTCCACATTGTCTGATTCCAATATTCAAACAGGGCATTTAGTGTTACATGGTGAAATGTTGCCATCAAATACACGCTATCAATCTCTCCTGGGGGCCGAGCTCAGGCTTAAAGAGCATATGAAGTAATTAGACAGTCAGGAAACAAGACAGATGAAGAACAGCAGATGATCGCCAGTAGACAAGTGCATGACATACATCACATCCCACACAAATGAGAAGCCACAGTCTGCAAAAATCACTGAATTTTGTGTCATGAATGACCTTACCCTACCTCCACAAACCAAAAGAATCTCCTGCTTTAATAGTTCATAAAATTAGAGAAGGCAGGTAACTGTCTGACACTGGCTGAAGATGTGGTTTAATCTACAGTGGCTTAGATACGAGACATTTTAACAGCCTATATGATTCATATAGGTCTTTATCTGAGCCCTGTGTAGCTTCAGTCCAAACAGCAGCAGATCAAGGTTGACCTCTGGTTGTGGCACCATGAGACATCTGTGTATATTAGAGAATCATAGAATGGTTTGGGTTGAAAGAGACCTTAAAGATTATCTAGTTCCAACCTCTCTGCCATGGGCAGTGACACCTTCCACTAGACTGTGTTGCTCAAAGCCCCATCCAACCTAGCCAAACTTCTCTGGGCAAACTTGTCTGTTCCTATGCCTCACCACCCTCACAGTATAGCATTTCTTTCTTTCTTATATCTAGCATAAACCCTCTGTCAGTTTGAAGCCATTACCCCATGTCCTTTCACTAGAGGCCCTTGTAAAAAAATCCCTCTACAGCTCTCTTTAGGTACTGGAAGGCTGCTCTAAGGTCTTCCTGGAGGCTTCCCTTCCCCTCCAGGCTGAACAAACCCAGCTCTCAGCTTGTCTTCACAAGGCAGGTGCTCCAGCCCTCTGATCATCTTAAAATTTTTCAAGATTATATTTCAGAAATGAAAAAAAAGGAAAATCCAAGGAGTTGATCAATCCTTGCTCATCTTTAAACTAACACATCTTAGATGCAAGGAGCATTTGTCAATGCAAAAAAGATCAAAAGTCAAGTAGTAGAGCTAAGAAAAATATAGTGAAGTGCTCTGCATTTAAGCAGAGATAATCAATAAGAGGCAACTGAAAAGATATGAAATATTCAGTAAACATCTTTTAGTGCCATTTTGCCACATTCTTTTATATTTATTTTGTACGTCTCCACCAACAAGATTACAGAAGTTTGCTTACTGTATTGTCTTTCAGCTGGAGACCTTCTCCATTGGGCAGTGATGACCTCCGTTTTGTTGAAGAGTTCTTGTTCGGTGTAGAATTACTGCCTCCAGCTTTCTTCTTGACAAAGAGGACTTCACAGCTGGCTTGATCTTCATTGTGCGTGCTCTTCCCTGCATTTATGACCCTAGGAAAAAACAAAACAAAAAAAGAGAAAACATTAGCAAAGCCCAGAAGCCTCGTTAGCAAAGCCTAGAAGCTTTGTTCCGTATCTTATATGTGACTCAAGATGTACAGAACCAGAGTCCAGCAGTAGTGCAAGTACTGACTAAACTAAAATACCTGTCTGACTTAACACATACACATATGTACACAAATGCATACTTGCTTGTTTTCATGCACCTACACATGACGTTACAAGCGTTTTCTGCAGAACTATATTAATAAGGACCAATGGCATCATGAGCATATTTTACCCTTGAGCATACCATACTCTTCTTTAAAGGGACTACTTTATGGCCAAAGTTGTTAACAGTATGCCTCCCAGTTGAAACATGAGATATGCAGCTGCTTTTCTACCTGCCAGCCTCTCTGCTATGAATAATGAATCTGTTGGCTGTCAAGTTCCAGGTCTTGCACAAACAAAATACCTCTTATAAATCTACAGAGCTGTTACTGCTAAAGGCAGTCTGTTCAAATGTCATATATTAGAAATGCTATGACAGAAATACAAAGGAAAGACTTTGCCTTATATTCTGACAGGCTAGTCAAGCTTGCTTGTACAACAGCAACACAGTGATGCATACTAAATACACCCCACTGGTACTGCACAGCATAACCCCCTACCCACAAAAAGCCCACCTCAAACCATCTGTCCCACCTGCAGCATAGACAGAAGAAGATTTGCACTAAGAGCTGCAGGCACGCAGAAACCAACACTAAGAGCTCAGTACAAGCTTTGAACAGCCAAAAGTATCCTGAGACTTACACCACAACTTCCTTGTTTTGGTCAGGCTGAAATAACGGCTATTCCACTAACAACAGTTTAAAATCCTAATCAGAAGTCTACATTATCCAAAATACCATGCTTACTGTCATCCATCTCAGAGGAATCAAGCTCATACACATTTTCCACCTTCTACACAAGAATCTCACCACAAACTGACCGGTTTTGCTTCAGTTTGACACGTGTTTGACAGTCCTGGGCTCACACTAGGAAAACCTGTGCAAGCTGAGACCACCACATCTTGTTCCAGCCAAGCAAAGGCACTGTCACTTTGATGCAAGCATGTCTTCTTCCACAAACACAATCTACCCAGTCCTCTCTACTATAGGTTTGAGTCAACAAGTTGACCAATATTCAGAGACAGTATTTCCACTACTGAACAAATACTGAGTTTCACATCAGGCGCACAATGCCTTTAAAAACAACTGTTGCCTCCCGAGAAACTAAAAGAGCTTGAAGGCACATCATAATCCTGATGGCAAGTTCAAGACATAACTGACTTCTTGATCTCTGACATTTGCATTACAGTAAAACTTTACACAATAGGAAAATACCTGCTAAAGGTTGTTGAAATGAAAATAAATAACAAAGGAAGGCTTGTAGGGGACTCTGCCCCAGCTTGCTCGCTCTTGTGGAAATGTCCATTGTGTCAACCTTGCTTAAAGGTAGTAGATTCTTTTGACTTTGGAGGAGCAATATGCTACTGTGACACACAAATGAGTATTTCTGCCTCTGATTAGAAAAAAACAATCTCTTTTTTTCTAAGAAAACATACACCCACTGCAATTAACTGCTTTCAGAGATGGAAAGTTTCCTTATAGTGCTAAATATCACACAATGCACTCTATCTATGCCTAATACCACCAGTCATTTACAAGTATTTCTCACAAGTAAACACTAATTGTGGATAAAATTATTTTATAAAACACACAGAGAGAAGCTTTCATATGCAAGGCACTTGTGAGCAATTTAACCACTCACCCTGTTGTAGTGCTTAACCTTTGGGTAATGGGAGATCAAATACTGAGATGCAATAAGCTTCCAGTCCAAAACCTCACATTTTCTTGATATTAAAAAAAGCAGAAGCATATATGCAAACATAGGGGCAGGGGAGGGGGACAGACACACATACACCCCACCTCACCCAAAACCATGAATAGCAAAGCATTTAAATCAGCTGACCAACACCCATTTAGTTTGAAATGCCACAAACATGATTAAAATATCACAGTAGCACAGAAAGTGTAGTTTTATCAGATCAGGAGCTAATCAACAGTCAGTTTAGCTGACCAGTCTCCTCACTAATGCTGCTGTTTTCAATTCCATTTTAAAAAAGACAAGAGACAAAAGCAACTCCTTACAAAAATCAGCGTTTTCCTAACACTTACTGTTCCTTGCAAAAATCATTCAAGTATTGGAGTTGCCCTGGTTTCTGAGCTTTGCAATGGACTTCGGGACTTGTATGGTGAAGGTGTTCTGAAGTATAACGATGAGTTAAGTTATGCACAACATGGTATCATTTTATAAAGCTCTTGCCAAGAATATTTGTCAAGACACTGAATACATCAGAAAGACTATGAGAACAAAGCGATCTAACAGACTAACTTGGCAGCCAGCTACCATGAAAAGCACCTTACTAGAACAGGATACAATCAAAAGGAACCTGGCAACACTGAATACTGAGAAGGCATGGGAGTTGAGTTGTCAGTGCAGTGAGGATAGGGGACTGAGGCTGTGAACAATACATTCCATTCCAGAATCTCCCAAAATTCCAGTTTTCCTTTCTCCATCAGAGGATTACGTTTATTTTATTCCTTGTGAAGACCTGAACTTAACATAATGTCAAAACAGTTCTTATGGGTACTACCAGATAATGCAAGGTCTAGATGCCAAAAGCTGCCCCTTTCCTGACACAGGCATTCTTCTACTCCCACCTCATCACATCCCACCTCATATGCAAACCCTGGAAAGGGATTGCGTTGAAGCCCCATGATTTGTAATCTCAGAGTTTGAACTATGTGTTGGTGCCTGATGCCTAGCACATAAGCTGGTAACATCTTCTGCTCTGCTTCAAATAACTCTGACTTAGCTGCCTTTTGAAATCTTTTTCTCTCTGCAGTTATTTAATCCCTCCTCCAGGCAATTTGTTCAACCAGCTTTCCAATGTTGATTTCACTGATGTCTTTCCTGCTTGCTCCCCGAGATTGTAACTTACCAGGACAAAAATCACATTTAAGCTGCTTATACAAATAACAAAGCAGAACTAACAAGATGTTCATGTAAGTAAAAGGTAACCCTTAATTAGACCTTAGGAATTTTTTATGGAAAAATCTACCCCTCCTTCCACAGATGAAGCACCTCAGCTTCCTTAGATTTCCCCTTAATATCTGCTTTTCTGTGTACCTCAAAAAAAAAGTTATTTTGTTCACTTTACTGATGGATAATACACTCCTTTCTCACACATAAATACAAAAAACACCTCCACAAACAAAGAAAAATCTCCAATCATTTCAATTCCATTTTATCATTAATATTAATAATAAGGCAAACAAAAAAAATTTAAAATTATTTTTAAAATATTGAGGCCTACATACTTCTCTAGCTTTTACTCAGACACATGTTTTCAAGGGAATTCTTGCTTTTGTTCTTTCCCAAATTCCTCAAGAAACTTATCAAACCAAATGATGATCAACTCCATTTCAATCTCTTCCCTCCTCTCCCCTAATAGCCATTTATCTCCTAGTCAACCTTTTACAAAGTTCAACCCAAATAAAATCCAATTTGGATCAGAACCTCCTTCTTTTACAGAGTTCATTGTCTCTACTGTGTCAAAAACATTGCTCAGTAATAAATAAGTATTTCTAAGGTTTAGTTTGTGGGATAGTTGTGCTAGTAAAAACATTCTACATTCTGAACAGGAGCTTCCTGAAGCCTGCACAGTGAGGTGGTAGGATTTGGTCACACTTGAAGTACCTGCATCAACCTTGATGGACACTTCAGTACTTCACCAGACTAATCTTAAACATGTCCTCAGCTAAAAGCAAATCCTCCAGATGGAAGCCACCTAGTTTGGCTCAAAATTAAGCATTCTGCTGGTATCTCATGAGACCCCAAATCCCATCTGACTGAATGTAAATGTAGGTTACAGTGTGCTTCTGTTCTTCACTGAACAAACAAGGTTCAAAGTCGTGTGCCAAGGTCACTGATTGCAAAATCCTAAGTTTATTTTAAATTAATCAAACCAGGCCAATTGAACAAATCCAAAACAGGCTTTGATAACAGTTTCAAAACAAAGCAAAAAAAGGCAAATCCCACAAACAAACAAACAAAAAGAAGCTTCAGTCTTTTGAAGCATATCTATTCACCCCTCTACGGTTTTTTGCATCAATACCAGTACATATACTCTTTGGTTGTTTTAATCCTCCCTATGCAATGCTCTTAGATACTACATTAAGTTGCCATCAGCCAAAGTTCCAAGTTGTGCTGTAGGAGGAGAGTTTACCCATGCATACATCTCAAATTCGGGGAGGGGAATTAATTTAATCATCCAAGGACATTTATTTTTTTAACTCACCTGGGTAAAGCCAAAAAGCCCAGTAGAAATTCTGAATGATGCACGACAATAGCAGCGCACACAAAACATGCTTTTTGAAATGAAAAGACTAGGAGAGCTCCAAGAGCTTGGGAAGCTGTGCTGCAGCAGGAGAAGTGTGGGAACTGGCCTCACATACACTCTACCTCTGCCTGGCATAACACATAAAACCTGAAAGCAGAGAGCCTGACTCACTCCCTCAATTTAGTTGAGCTGTGGGGTAAATGACAACCTCCTATCACCATAGGAGGACACCACAAATCCCACCTGTTTCTCCCCCAACAAGGCAAAGTTCCTCTCCCCAGTAGAAGAGAACATTTCCAGTCCCACCTTCTCTGTAAGACCTATTGTGAGGACATCCTACATAAGCACTGCCAGAGCAAAGGTCTGAGCAACCTGAGCTTGTACTACATAGGTTAAGGCTGAGGCTGTGTGTATTATCTGTGCAGCCCATAGAGTTTGACACTGGAACATAAAATACCCAAAAGAAAGCGTAGCAAAGAAAGTATTTGTTGGTGAGAAATCCTCTGTGCCCGGCAGTAATGATCAGCTGAAAGTGGAAGAGGCTGAGCTAAAGAAAACAAAACCA